CCACTTCAGCGACGGGACAGGCCGGGTGTGTAAGCTGCTGAAGAGTCTGTATGGGCTGAAGCAGTTGCCGCTGCTATGGTACAAGGCACTCAACGACGTTCTGGTCGGCGGCGGGTGGACGAAAAGCCAGGTCGACGAGGCTCTGTACTTCAAGGTCGAAAAGGTGGCCAACTGGGTGCTGGTCTACGTCGACGACCTGCTCGCCGCCAGCAGCAGTGCCGAGATGCTGAAGGAGCTGAAGGAGCTGCTGGAGGCCGCCTTCGAGCTGCGGGAGATCTCGCCAGTGCAGAAGTACCTCGGGCTGGAGATCGTGCACGACAGGTCGGCGAGGAAGTTGTGGCTCCACCAGCAGGGCTATGCAGACAAGCTGCGTAGGCGTTTTCTCGACTAGGAGCAGACTGGGCGCACCCCGAAGATGCCGGTCTCGGTCGACGCCTATGCCGAGCTCACCTTCGACGACGAAGAGGCACAGGAGCGCCAGGAGGAGGAGTACCGGCAGAAGGTCGGCTCGCTGCAGTTTGCGGCGACAACGACGAGGCCGGACATCGCCTTTGCCTGCAGCAAGCTAGGGAGCAGCCTCACGGTGAGGAGCGACCAGCACTGGCGCGAGGTCGACCGCTGCCTTGCCTAGCTCGCCAACACCAGTGACACCGCCCTGGAGTTTGGTGGTGGACTTGAGTCGCTGAAGCTGGTCGGCTACGTGGACCCCGACGACGCCGACGACAAGCAGAACCGGACGAGCACGGGCGGCTACGTGTTCGTCTACGGAGGGGCCGCAGTCTCCTGGTCGAGCCAGCGCATCAAGTGCGCGACGCTGTCGTCGACCGAGTCAGAGTACGTGGCGGCAACAGAGCCGGCAAGGAGGGACGTCGACTTCGTTTTCTTCTTGCAGAATTCCGGCAGCTGGACACCGGGACACCGACTGTCCTTCGGGTGGGCAAGAAGTCGGCCATCACAGTCGCCGAGGGCATGGGGTTGACGGGCAACCTCAAGCACATGGAACGACGACAAGCCTGGCTGCAGCACATGGTGAAGCGTGGGAAGTTCTCACTGAGGTACATTCCAACCGCTGAGCAGCCAGCCGACTTCCTGACGAAGGCGCTGCACTACCCGGCCTTCAACCGGTGCTCCGTCGCAATCGGCCAGGTGCGCCTGGTCGACGTGGGCGACGGTGACAACGACGTGCAGCAGTAGGTGCCATGCCCTCTTGCATGGCTGGTGCGGTGACCGGCGTGATGTGTGTTGGGTGCACGCCGACGAGCTATTCTCCAAGCAGTGCTGCCATGTGGGCTGGGGGGGCCCAAGCGTGAACGCGGCAGGGGAGTGTCAACGGGAGTTGTGGTTGGCCCCGTCCTTGCTTGGGCGGAGCCGACTTCGTGGTCGGATGTGAGGAGTGCAGCCGACCTGCAGCAGTGGGGAGCTGGTCGTCGGGTCTGGTCGACCTGCACGGGGGCCACTGCAAGGGCGCCGACTTGGGAGGGCGCCAACTTCGGCTGGTCGACTTGGGAGGTCGACCAGAAGAGGGCGTCGACTTGGGTGACGTCGACCAGGGGAAGCCGACTAGGTGTGGTCGGCTGACAGGTGTGCTGGTCGACCTGGGGTTGGTCGACCAGGTGGGTTGTCGACCTGGAGCTGGTCGACCACTGTTGTGGTCGACCTGGTGAGGTCGACTGAAGGTGGTCGTCAACTTGGGAGGTCGACGGGCACACGAGGAAGCAGCTGGTCGACGTGGTGGTTGCCCAGTCGACCGGGTTACCTGGGTGACGAGGTTTTGCGAAGGAGTGCGACGGTCGCTCAGGTGGTATTGGCGAGATCAACCTCGGTGGTGGTATCCCGAGGTCGACGTGGCTGATCAGGTGCAATCGTCAGCACAAGGACGACTTGGTGTGTGCGTTGTGCAGGTGACAAGGCACTGCACGCCAATCATCTGCGAGCACCTGCGAAGTAGGTGCGCTGCTGTTCTTCAGGAGCAACGCTGGCACGCCGTCGACCTGCAGCGTTGGCACGCCGTCGACTTTGCACTGCTGGAGCGCGGTCGACCAAGTCGTGCTGGAGCGCGGTCGACCGTGCTGCGCTGGCAGTCGACCTGCTTGCATGCTAGCTCTGATGTAGCCTTGTCTTGCCAACTTTGTTGTATCATTGTTCTCAACTTTTGCTAGTGAAACTCTTCCAGTTTTGCCCTGTGAACGCACAAGTGCTAGAGAATGACTAAGTGAACGAACGCAGGGATCCCTCTTACCCCGTGCCTAGCCCGTAGTCTAGCTCCCGTTGATTGAGTTATCTCCGCATCTACAAGGTGAAGTGGCCCCTGGATCACCACCAGTGTTCAAGGCGCGCTATGTGGCAAGAGACTTCAGTCAGCGTGAGGGAGTAGACTTCTTCCAGACCTTCGCTCCCAACCCGAAGATGACCACTCTTCGGGTGTTGCTGCACATCGCAACTCAGCGGGGCTATGAGTTACACTCCTTGGACTTCTCCACAACGTTCATTCAGGGGAGCCTGCACGAGCAGATCTGGATGCGTCGCCCGCAAGGTTTCATTGGCTCTTTCCCTCCTGGAAACCAGTGGCAACTGTGTCGCCTGGTCTACGGCCTGCGCCAGGCTCCCCGTGAGTGGCACGACACACTTTGCACGACACTTGCAGCGCTTGACTTCTTTCTGTCGTCTGCTGACCCGTCGCTGTTCGTCCACCGTGGCTCGACCCCGTTCTTTGTTCTGATTTACGTTGACGACCTGGTCTTCGCCACTCCCGACCGACGCGCACTGGCCTTCGTGAAGGAGGAACTGCAGAGGAGACACACTTGCACTGACCTAGGTGAACTGCAGCGCTATCTTGGCCTGCAGATCGCCAGGGACAGGGCAGCTCGCACCATTACGCTGACGCAGTCGCATATAGTCAGCCCTAGCCAAACCTAAACATAAATGTACTCCACCTAGACTAGCAAATACAAACTATATTATTTACAGTTTGACAGGGACGATACTCAGCCCCGGCGTAAATCGGGCAGCCTGGGCGTCTATCTCTCCCAGTCGTCGAGATTATATGACCCATTTGCGCATGGCGAGCCCTTCCAACTGCCCCTTATTTTTTTCGGAAGCTCTGGAAGTGTCGCCCATGCTGACGTAGGTCCGTTGTCGCCAGCTGCCGAAGATCATTCCGCGAATCTCGCGCACAGGTTGACGGCGGTCCACCGACGTCAACTGCCGCATAAGGACGACGACTCCGAAATGTTCGCGTAGGTGTTGTCTCGGGTCCAACGACACCCGCTGCTACTCGTGATGACGACTCCGAGGCTGTTCGTGCAGATGCTGACGCAGGTTCGCTAACGCCAGCTGCCACACGAATTAACCTCTGAAATCACCGGGAAACGCAGCGGAATAGTACTTGCGTCGCAACGTCGCGACAGCTACAGCTGTCTGTAGCCCGGGTGAGGGAGGTCACAGTCGATCACGGCCGTCGAAGGCAAGGATCCAGCGGCATGGAGGAGCACCCCATAAATTCATGGCCGCGAGGGGCAACTACACGTTCATGGCCGGCTAGCACGCAACTCCTAGGCCCCAGGACATCCATCCTCGTCTCCCCCCCAGCTCCTCCCCCCCACCCCCCCCCCCCCCCCTCCCCTTCCCTCCCCCTCCCCCCCCCCCCCCCCCCTCCCCCTCCCGAGGGGTAATACACTCTTAAAGCGGGGTAGGCTGGGAAAGTGGCTCTGGTACCAGGTGTTATGAATGAACTTACAAATTGCGCAGGATTACCGAATAAACAGAATGTGATTACAAAGTCTGACCATACAATGGAGGTGGCGACGCGAAATAGGGGAAAACCTAGCTAGGCGGGCAAGGAATCAAGGATGGCTCGGGAATGTTGCGATTTGATCTAGGCGAGAGTCGCAAGAGGAACGAGTGTTGGCCAAAATGGGGTTTCACTATAACAAAGACGGAACATATAGGCTGGGCTTGAGCTAGGCGAGAGTCGCAAGAGGAACGAGCGTTGGCCAAAATTGGGTTTCACTATGGCAAAGACGGAACATATTGGCAAGAACAAGAGTAGGTGCACCACACACTACAACTACCGTATGGCCCCGGATATAGGCGCCGTCCGATTAAAGGCGCCGGCGCTTATATCTGGAGCATGGCATTATGGCCGAAACTGGATTATAAGCCCCCCCCCTGTAAACCCTTTACTTATTATAAGTGCACGTACGGTTGTAATGTGAAATCATGTGTAAAATGGTAACGAGATTCATTTTTGCAGCGAGTATTTTTTCAATTTCGCTTCGTTTGACTCGCGAAGACCTGACTGGCTGCGTGTCCAATCAGGATGTGGTGGCATGATGTGTCATTGCCACTGTGTGTTGGCACAATATCGCTTGCGCGCGATTCTGCTTTGTGACGCTAACATTTCGCCTCGGTTGAAATGGCAAGAAGAAAATGTACAATCTGGTGCTCTAAATTTATTGTATTTGTCATTATATAAGCGCCGACGCTTATGGCCAAAACTCATTGAGAAGCGCCCCCTTTAAAAATTTCGATTTTATTATAAGCGCACCTGCGCTACTATCCGGGGCCATACGGTAACTACACCCATTTATATAGAATATCTAGAACATATTACGACAATTCATGGCACGCAAATAAATTTGGAGCTTACGCTCCCAACACATTTCTTCTCATTGTAGATGTAGTATTTTGAAATGGCTCCATTCTGAGCTCCACCATAGAAGCTGTATGCACCTGAGCACGTCAACGATGGTGATACTGGTTTTTGCATGCCCTTCTTGCATATGCCGACAACAAATGACCAATACTCTGCTCGTAGGCAAATCTGCAATGGCGCCATTTACAAATACAACGAATAGAAGGTACATATATCGAGGAAGTGAAAGGAAGGGATAGGCACGATAAGAAAACAATTCCTTAACAAATGATTAAGGGCAAAGAGTTGGAACAAAGGGCTTACGTATTGTGCAGCAAGAGCAAATGAGAGACGACCCATTGCACCCTCACCCATCAAACACCCCTTTCTTCCAGATTTCCCTCCTTCCTTGTCCATCCTCCCCTCCACCACTCACCTGCACGCCAGTGTTGCTGCCAACAGCAGAGGCGGTAATTGGGATCACATCGGAGCAGATGAGGCCAGGATTGTTGCGGTACAACTCAGCCCAGCGCATGGCATTCACCTCCCCAGCCCCTGAGGGGTCACCCTCACTCCCCGCCGCCTGCCGCAGCAGGCGCTCGCACGTGTCCTGTGGTGTGAGCACGCCATATCGCGAGCACTGAGGGATGGTGAAAGCGAAGGTGGCGTTGCGCTCGACGCACAGAGAGCGGCCCGCCTTGATGGGCTCAGAGCAGTCGAGGCCGGGATTGAGAGCAGTGAGGTTGCTGCTGGCGAGGCCCAGCTGTGCACTGATGGACCAGCATGTGTCGCTCTGAAGGGTTGAAAAATGGGAGAAAAGGCACAGATGCCTGCGGTGAATGGAGTACGGCTTTACTATGACCAATTCAAATAAGGCTGAGATGATAAGACTGCCTTGCTGAGCTGATGCAGAGCAGATGAGAGTGAGTTCTGAACGAGAGGAATGATGATTACAGCTAAAGCTCATGGGGAAGGTGTAAAAGATAGTTTTAGAGGTTTGAACAACAGGAGAGAAGGTAAAATACTTAAGCCTTGGAGGTGAAAGTAAGATGGCTGTACTTTGTGCAATGCTAAAGTATGCTGGGGTGCTGGAAAATTATTGCTTAGCCAAGTATAAAAGAAGGAGAAAAAACAACAGCTAAAGCTCACTCACACTGATGGTGTAGAAGAATGCGGTGCAGGGAATTAGGGGAGAAATCCCCAGCTGAAGCACCATGTTACGAGGCAAAGGACGACTGCAGTCAATGGCCTGGGATGAGGAGCACAGAAATCGAAGGATGTGAAGTATAGCCAAGTTAAGCATTCTGTGGGGCTACTCCATCCATTAAAATTGAAAATAGCCAATAACGTTGATAGGATCCAGTGGACATTGCGGTTAATGCTTTCCTGCTCTACCACCATCTCTGCCTGCATCTCCACTCATCCAGCCTCTCCATCTCTACTGCTTACCGCATTATTCTGCGTGAATTGTGCAAGTGAGAGTCCAACAACCGGGAGGACATCGAAGCACCACCAGTTGCTGCCACTCACTGCCAGATTGCTGGCCGTGGTGTTGGCTGAAGAAGAATGAGATCGAAAGAAGATCACACCGAATAGAGGGGTTTAACTGAGACCAGACTTACTAGTTTTAGTGTACACATCAAACCACGGACAATCGAACTAGAACGGTTCAATTAGAACTGATTCAGTTCGACATCACACCGGTTTGACCATTTGGGCTGGTTCAGTGCCTATTTATTCCGAGCCGCATCAAACTGAACTGGTTCGACACTGATTTCCGTTCGACCGGACCAGGGCCTATTCGACGCAGAAACCCGCACGACCCACGTAAATAATAATAATAATAATAATAATAACAATAATAATAAATCAAAACTAAAAAAAAAAACAAACAGAAGTTAGAGCTCATTCCGAGATCAAATTCTCTCACTCATCCGCCCATCTCCTCCACCAAACTTGGGTGTTCGCAAGTGAAACGACTAGAGCCGATTAGATCTTGTCACAAAATTGAGTTTAGAGTGTTTGTGGGCTGTTTACACGAAATTGGTTGAAGTACCAACTGGTGCGATTCACATGCTCGTCTCATGTTTGCTATGATAATTATGTTAGTTTCTTCCACAACCCTAGAAAAAAAAAACAACAAACAAGAAGATCAGGCAGGAAACATGTGGTTATAGTTAACGTTGATGGCGGATCCAACTGGTTTTGTTCGATTTGAACCGACCCTAATTCAGACAAAACCGGATCAGTTTGACACAAGAAAATCAGACTTTGAAATGCCATATTTTCTGACAGGTTCAATCCGAACTGAACAGGTTCGACATCAAACCGACTCAATTCTTAAAAAAAAAAAAAAATTGGTTCGGTTCGGTGATTTGCTCATGGCTACTGGGGAGCAGAAGCAGTTCGAGAGGGTTGTGATGACGCCAGCATTTGGTACAATAATTACCGAAAGAAGTACTGACCTCCTTGCAAACAAGGCCAAAGCAGCAGCACCTGGGTCGCAGGTGGGGAAGTTGTCAATGGTTGTGCTTGCAATGTAGTTGGGAGGGCAGATGCAGGAGTAGGAGCCCTTGCCATCGTTGATGCATGTTCCCACATAGCAGGGGTTCTCCAAGCCAGACCCACACACGTCCACTGACAAGCAATACGAAGCACAATTGTGGAGCACAGGGATGAGGTGAGAAGCGATGGGAAGAGTGGGTGGAGGGAGTGCAAAGATTCTTAGAAGCCCAAGATACTGATACACAGAGGCTTGAATGAAGAAATCTTTGATGAACAAACCAGACCACTGTTTTGACAATGGCCATGGATGAACATCATTGTTTGAGAACCAAACCACTTACAATAGGCACATGTTTGGGAGCCATATCCATTTGCAATTTGAACAAATGGCTGCCTGGCTTCATTCGAAAGCGAGCAGTTACACGAGTTGCTGTTACTGCGTAGGTTAGCTCGGCATGTGAACCGCCCGCACGGGTTCATGCTGGGCTGCAGGTCGCCGTCACCCTTGAAGCTCCTCTGGCCGCACGGGTCCTTGGGAACTGGAGGGTGGTACAGACGAGATCAGGAGTAGTAGAAACGGGTGCAAATGCAGCTTTATTGAAAAAGACAGCATGCAGGAATGAGCAAGGTTAGCCAAGTGAGAGGTGTAAGGTCTGGAAAACGTGAGTTGGGAATACACCATCTTACGAACGTGGTCAGCACTGGCTCACACTCTCTTCTCTCTGTTGACCATGTCTCCACTCCACCCTACTCCATGGCTGTGATTTACATCTTGTGTGCCTTTCACTCTGGACCAGTGACTATTGACCCTGTGATGTGACGTTCTTGAATTGAAGGGAAGAGGAAATCGAGATACGACGGGGGAAGTTGCTTCACTCAATGGTGGGTGCCTCACTCTTGACAATGGGGTAGATGCCAGGCAGCACGTTGATGCCACACACGCCATCACCTCCCTAAATGTCCATACGCATGTGGCCCCTGTCACCCCACTCCACTCCCCAAGAGTTGCGGATAATCCAGAATGGAGGCGCAATGCGATTTTGGCTGCCGTCATTTCTGAAGATGAAGTAGCCAACAACGAGTACAGCGTGGTTCAGTCTACCGGTGTAGCAGCCAGGATCCTGGTACTTGAAGGTCTGAAGAGAAAGAGGGACATCGCAACAAAAATGGGAATGGGTGTTAAAAAAATGCACAGATTGATGTGGGTAACCACTTTTGTAAAACAAATTTCAACGTATGCACATCATACAGGGTCCATGCAGGCACCACCCACCCCGTCATATTGCGCGAACTCCCGACCAGATGCCTCTATGTGAACCACCACTCCACCCACCCCGTCATATTGCGCGAACTCCCGACCAGATGCCTCTATGTGAACCACCACTGGCTGTTGTCGAACTGCCAGCATGAGCCCCACGAATCCCTTGAACCGAGTGCGCTCAAATCCGTGAACAGGGTACTTCTTATTCTGAAGGTTGACGAACCAAAGGTAATTTCGCAACATGTTGGAAGGAAGAGAAATGAACACAATGAGATAACTCAATAAAATGTAGAAAAAGGTTTGCTTGCTCAATTTGCATGCAACAAGTAAAGACTAACCGGGTTAACCTAGCCAATTCTAGCAAGCAGTACAACATTCGGGTGCATAATAAGATGGTTACAACATACATTATATGGTCATGTAACTTCAATTGTGCATGTGTTAGGGAATCTCAAAGATGGGCTCTAAGCTGTAAATGAAAATGAGCAGGAGTCACATTTTTCCAGATATATTGCAAATACTGTTCAATACTGTCTTGCGTATATGCATTTAATACACGGAGATTTCACTTTTGTATTGTTTTAACCCGTTTTATTCATCATACCTCTAATCTTCATACTTCTAATCATTTCTCACAAAATGGTCTATGTCCTCAGCCCACGTGCTTCAATCTGTCGATCACTCGAGTATTTTGGCGAGAATGCTTGATGAATTTTTGATGAACGGATACATGCGAATAGCATGCGACGTCGAATTCATATAGTCACTCGAGTGTTAGGTCGAGTCCTGAATACCATGCGAATACCGAGTTGTTTGTTTACAGGCTTAGTCAGCACTCTCTTGGTTTGTCGTGGTAGAAACTGTTTGCCTCTTGCGTGAAAGCCTTTTTTGCTTCGACCAATCCATTCTGGCACATCCAACTTCGAGAGCAATTTTATGCCATTAAAGAGATCTGTTCAACTGCGTTAGAGATTGCAACCGTTGACAATGACTGCAACGAATGACTCTAGAACTCAGAGAAGAGTTTTTTGTCACCAGTTGTAGTATAGTTGCAACTCTCTCAACATCGGGCACACTACCCAGAGTTCCCAGTTCTCTCACAAACATCTATCCCTCTCTAGCCTTCTACTCCTCCACCTCACTACTCACAGGTGCGCCAGCCTCTGTGATTCCGCCATTGTGCAGCATGAGAAGCGTTTCCAATGCCTCAGTGGGGGAGCCGCCCGTGCTGCACTTGTCAGCCTCGGAGGTGAGCCCCATGGCTGCAAAGAGCGACTCCACTGACAGCTGCGGCGCCTCCCCATTGACTGCAATGCCGTATGCCGCTTCCACGCTTGCCACCAGCGCAAACGCCCAACAAGCATCTGGGTATGAGAAGAACAGTTTCGTGAATAAACAAAGTGGATCCGAAGAGTGTTGAAAAAGAGCGGTGAATAACCAGAGTGGATCCTAAGCGCGTATTGCGCCGAGTATAGTGAGTTGGCTGGCTGAAATACGTGGCCAGCAGCAAAAGAGCAGACGGAGAACAAACCGGCAGATTGTAGCAACCATCCACGTCAACATGCTTTGACATTCATTTTACTCACTGCAGTCTTTCTGGTCCTTGACGGGCCAGCCGAGGAAGGGCACGAAGTCCCAGGAGTGGAAGTCGCTGACAACCCACGAGTCCTGCTTGCTGGGCGCCACTCGGTAGTCCGCACTCACGTAGCGCGGGAAGGGGCTGGCCCATGCTGGCATGTACGTGTTTGTTAATAGCTGCAGGCCATAGGCTGGGATGCTCTCAAGAGTTGCATGATGGGGGATTGAATGGGATGTGAACAAGACATGTTGTAACAAGGACAATTCGGAGAGGGACAATCATTTCACGGACTCTTTATATCTGTGTTTCCCACGCGTGGCTGAGCTGTACCTCATCTCATAATATGTTGTTGGTTGTTTGCCACCTCTAAACCCTAAGTTGCATACAAATTTTGATACAATAAACTTCCACAGGGGCCAAAAATAGGACGACAAGGTACACGGACATGGAGAGTGGAGTGACGGATACAGGTAGAAAGTTGAACAAACGAGAGGGTCAATATCGGTACAGATCGTACAGATGATGATTACAATGCATGCCTCCCTCGTCCTCCTTTGTCAGTCGTAACTGGGGTGCTTGCGAGTGTTCCAGCACGAGCACTGGAAAAGATTTCTCACCTGAAGTTCGCGTCACTGGTCGGGGAGAATCAGGAAGGCCTGGGAAAGGACAAAGCAGTTGGAGCAAAATAAGAGGTTTTGTGCTATCGCCCCAACCACTAACCCACTGCCAGTTCAACTCGCTCGATTTTCGAACTGCTCGTCAAAACGACGAGTATCGAGTCAGGTCTGAGTACAAAAAAAGGTCAAGATCTACTCGACCACTCGAGACTTGATCGAGTCTGCATAAAAGCGACTCGAGTAAGACTCGACTCGCGTAACGTGTTCTGCTCATGTCTATGCTTGCTAACCTGTGTCCACTGTAGATTCGAGAATGACGTGCTTCTGAAACGGCTTCACAG